AAGCCTAGTGTCTGGATTTTGGGCCATGTGCAGGCAGCAAGGCACCTGTATCCAATTGGTTAAAGATATATATGTACAGATAAAAAACAGGATATTGAAGGGTATATCCAGTACTGTGTAAATGCTGGAATGCATAAGTATACACTTTTAAAACATACATTGAACTAATAAAAGATACTATATAGAATGTTTACATTATTGTTCTATAAATGTACACTAAATATACTTTAATCTCCACCTACAGCAAAGATATTGCTGTCCACATACAGCTCACAGGCAAAGCACTTGGAAGAGTTGATGACAAGGACTTTAAAGCTGGGAGAAAGTAATTCTGCTCTCGTCTTAGCAGCAAGAGGAGTAGGGAAGTCCGCAGTATGTCTCAGTTTCTTATAATGTTTTGAATATGGGATTGCTGAATTGTGGAATAAGTGGTGTAATACAGTTTCTAAGTCTCAGGATTATTCTTGTAAACTTTGGGCAGGCTTTTAACAAATCTGCTTCAGTGGGTTTCTTAGGTCACTGTTTGCTCTTTATATATATTTCAGTATTCAGTATTAATCATGTAACTTAATGGGTTTTGAACCCTGATAACCATATATGAGATTGTATTTCTTAGGATTATTTAAATTATGAGTTATAGTAATTCATATTAATCAAAATAAGTCAATCCAGTTATGTAGTTCCATCCAAATAACATTCTATTTTTACATTTTCCAGCTTGTGAACATCATACTGGAGAATCTCGCTTCCTCAGGGACTTTGGGGGAAGGAGTAGTCGTCCGTCTGTCAGGGTTGTTGCAGACAGATGACAGGCTGGCTCTGAAGGAAATCACGTGCCAGTTGAGATTAGAGAATGCAACAGCAAATAAAGTCTTTGGTTCTTTTGCAGGTTAGTTGTGTTTCAAGTTTATTATTATAAGCAGTTTTGAGAGAGATCTTATAGTCTTGAAGTAACAAGAAAAAAAGGGGGTTAATTGGAATTCATTTCTAATGATAATAAAATTATAAACTCCAAATATCACCCAGATCTTTGAACAGAGTGAAAGTAGCTGCCACCCAGTGTGTTATCAGTCTTCAGCGGTCCTTTTATCTTTACCATCAGAAAACTTGGCCTTCTTGCTTGAGTCACTCCGCAGTGGTAGCAAAGAGACCTCGAAACCTGTGATCTTCCTTCTCGATGAGTTTGACTTATTTTGCCACCATCACAACCAGACTTTACTTTATAATCTCTTTGATGTTGCTCAGTCAGCACAGGTCAGCAGCACAGACTAAATATGATTTTACTTTAAGTGTAGATATAGATTTGTCATTATGCTTATTTTGTAAGCAAACTGTTGAAACAAATCCAGACATATTGGGATATAGTATTCACAGTATTATGATTGTGCACTGAACTTTCTTTTGTCTCAACCATTTCATCCCAAACAGGCACCAATTTGTGTAATAGGCTTGACATGCCGTCTTGATGTTATCGAACTGCTAGAAAAGAGGGTCAAGTCACGATTCTCACACAGACAAATACACCTTTTCTCTGAGGAAAAGTTTGAGCCACAGTATGTTAATACCATCAAGTTGCTCTTGAGCTTGCCTGAAACATTTCTTCACAAGGTATTAGCTTTGTTTTAGTTACAGAAAATTTATATGGAAGTTTGATATTTCTACTTACATCTTTACTTTTATGAAAGTTTGCTAGTTGGCATACTCATTTCCATATAGCTGCATTAGGATTAAGAGTATCATTCATATTTGAATGATAAATGAAAATAATAATCATAAAAAAAAATAATAATAATAAATAAATAACCTTTTTTTTTTTTTTTTTTTTTTTTTTACAGAGTTTCGTCAAAGCTTGGAATGCTCAAATAGATGATTTGATGAAGACTGATGAGGTCCTGAGAGTTACCAAAAGACTGTATGACACAACACGTGATATTAGGGCTCTGAAAACCTTGTTGGTGAGAGCAGTAGTCGGTGCAGTTTTTAAATATAGATTTTTGTGTGTGTGTGTGTGTATGTATCTATCTGAATGTTACATAATAAGGCATGAGGTTTTATGTATGGTTTACCAGAATTTGTAAAATTAGATTCAATCACAAATCTGGAAATCTTAAATACCAATCATTTAATAAAAAGTTTTATATAAGAATTTTCGGTTTTACATCAAATTATGAATACAGGAGTATTCAGTCTAATTATCCTGCAGTGGGTGAAATTGGTCAAATAATGTCAGTATAAATTTATTGCTCTTCCAGCTTGTGTGTGTGAGCCAGATGAGTGCAGACAGGCCTAAGCTGACACCGGAGATGTTTACTGCAGCACAGCCCATAATGAGAGCTGAAGCAAAAACTAATATGTTACAGGGACTGTCTATTCTGCAGCTTTGTTTGGTGAGAAAAGTTACACTTGGCATGGTAGTGTTATTATTTTTGTTAATTTTATCTTTGGTGTCAGGTATATTAATACATAGGACACTGCTTTGGTGCTATAAATTCCATAGAAA